CGGAAATTGAGATTTATGCATCACCTGAAAGCTGAATAAACAAGCTTTCCATTGATGAATCTGGAATCTGAGGGTGCAAAAAAAATCTAAATATTGAGAAAATCGCCTTTAAAGTTGTCCAAATGAAGTTCTTAGCAATGCATATTACTAATAAAAAATTAAGTTTTAATGTATTTACAGTAGGAAATTTACAAAATATCTTCATGGAACATGATCTTAATATCCTAATGATTTTTTGCATAAAAGAAAAATCGATAATTTTGACCCATACAATGTTTTTTTGGCTTATTGCTAAAAATAGACCCAAGCGACTAAGACTGGTTTTGTGCTCCAGGGTCACATATATCAAATAACAACACTAAATTGAAATTTTAAAACAAATCCCAAATCAAATAAGTAAATAACACAAATAAAAGAAATTTCTTCATGTAAACAAACTAAGGCTTTGCCTGTGCTCTTTCCATTTAAAATGAAAGACAACCACTACATTTTACTCACGATCCAAACAAAGATGCTGCAAACATGCAACATGAGCAGTTTCTGATTTCAAATAAATTGTATAATTTCAAAATTTAAAGCAAAAACAGAAAGGCCTGACTTTAGTTTTGTGGTCACATTTTAAGGTCCAAATCTCGCTATTAACAAACCACTAACTACGGTTTTCCCTCAATAAACTCCTAATTTGCTGCTTATTAATAGTTAATAAGGCAGTTGTTAGTTTAGGTATTGGGTCGAATTAGGGATGTATAATATGGTCATATACGGTACGCACATGTGCTGTAGGCCGCTTCACACTGCAGCGACATGATCTGGAACTTCTCCTCGTCCGTCTCCACCTCCAGGTGTGCCAGGTACTGCTTCACCTTACGTGCCATCTGTGCGTCCTCGTACAGCTTCTTGGCGTTGAGCAGAGAGCTGCGCCGCACGCGCTTCTTGTGACTGCCCTGAACGTCCAGCAGGTTTGAGTTGGTGCTGCCCTGACTCAGAGACCTGAGGAAACAGAGCGGATGAGGAGTGAGACAAATACGCCAGATGCTTCATTCCTATGGGCTGATGTTCACTAATAAATGGGAGGACAGTCGACAGACAATGGTTTCACAAATAAATGAAACCTGATGATATACAAATTTTTTTTCTGGTCTTGCAAAGAAAAAAATTAAAAGTAATTTCTGTGAATATTGTTTTTCATGTATGGTTATGAGTTTCTTGCATGTACACTACCGGTAAAAAGTTTGGGGTCAGTAAGATCAAAAATAATAAATACATTTATTCAGCAAGGACACATTAAATTGATTAAAAATAATTTTATAAAAAAAAGACATTTATTTCTGTTTCAAATAAATTCTGTTCTTTTGAACTTCTTATTCATCAAATAATCCTAAAAAATAAAATGCATCCCGGTTTCCACAAAAAATATAAAGTTTTTTCAACATTGATAATAATAAGACATGTTTCTTGAGCCGCAATAATATGCTGCTATTAGAATGATTCTGAAGGATCATGTGACACTGAAGACTGGAGTAATGATGCTGAAAATACAGCTTTGATCACAGCAATAAATTACATTTTACAATATATTGACATAGAAAACAGTTAATTAAAATGTAAATAATATTTTACAATATTACTGTTTTTACTGTATTTTTTGATCGAATAAATGAGCAAAAATAGCCTTGGTGTGCAAAAGAGATTTTTTTCAAAAACATTAAAAATCTTAATTATTCCAAACTTTTGACCAGTAGTGTATTTGTAGAACTCTATTTGTAAAAGCCCTTCCGTTTATTTGTGAATATGAAACATTAAACCTCATATACTTGCCACTCTAAGCGAACAATGACTACAGCAGCGTAATGCGGCCATGCAATGTGTTCAGTTCCATTAATGCAAAAAATACACAAATAACTCGAAACCGACGAGCATGATCTGTTACGTGAAGATCAATGGTTTAGAGGATGAGAGAGAGGAAGGAAGAGTCGCAGGAGTTGGTGTGTCCAGGTTAATGGTCATGACACATTCAGGACATGCAGGGCAGCACACTTACCCTAAACTCTTCCACCTCTTCTTCCTGTAAGCAAAGCCAATGAGAGGCACAAAACAGGTGAACAGAAAGAGAGAAACACTCAGACAGACAGAAAGCACCACCAACAAAGACTACACTTGATCCTATCAGAGAAAGAGAGAAAACATCCGCTGCACGTGTGCGAGCGACTCTATGGCAATAAATCAATTTGATGTCTAAATAAAAACATATCAAAACTGGACTGTGAAAAGTGACTACCATTCCCGCTCACATGGCCTAGGTGACGTCAGATTTAGATTATGAAGTAGGGATGTCCTGAGACAATCTCAAGGATTGGGATCGGGGCCGATCAAGCATTTTTTATAATTGTTCAGCTATCCTAAGCCCGATCCTTTTTTTTTATCAGCTGTCATGCCGGTGTCGTGCAGTAGGTAGTGGTATGCACCTTCAACATAGAGGTCTGCTACCCGACCCGAGCCCGACGGGTCCCGAAATACTTTCGGGTTTCGGGTCGGGTTCGAGTTAATGTTTAATGAATAGCTTTGGGTTCGGGTCGGGGTCAGGTTTATAGCTAAACTAAAACTATATGCAGGCTATGCTGCTTTCATAGACGCACGCACACACATTATTGCACACGACAACACAGCACGGTAACTTTTATTAGTAAAATAGCTTCGACAGGCTACTGACTCGCAACAT